GAACTTTGCTATTGTTGCTGGAGTGAGATAATATATCCTAGTTATTTTGATTTGCATTTCTCTTATGTTGTTGTTGTTGTTGTTGTTATGTGCCGTCAAGTTCTTTGCAACTCATAGCCCTAAACCCTGCTCTATCCTGTGCCAATCGCATCGCCTCTGACATACTCATCCCGATTACCCCAGTCACTGAATCAATTCACCTCACAGAGGGTCTTCCCCTCCTGCGCTGTCCCTCTACCCTACCAAGTGTGATGTCCCTCTCCAAGGATCTGTCTCTCCTTACAACATGTCCAAAGTATGTCAGACGAAGCCCCAGAATCCTTGTCTCCAAGGAGTAGCCTGGTTTAACCCTCTCCAGGATGAATCTGTTTGTTTTCTTGGCAGTCCAGGGTACATTCAATACTTTTCTCTAACACCACAGCTCAAAGGCGTCAATTCTCCTCTGTCTTCCCTAGTCATTGTGCAACTCTGATGCATTTAACATTTCTTAATGTGTTTGTTTGCCATCTGAATGTCTTCTATGGTGAAGTGTATATTCAGATCCTGTGCCCATTTTTTGATCAAGTTGCTTATCTTTTTCCTGCTGAGGTGCTGGGGTATTCTATAAATTTTAGATATATATCTCCCTTATCAGCTATGTCATTGCCAAATATTTTTCTCAGTCCGTTGTTTACTTTCTTACCCTATTGGAAAAATTTTTTATGTGCATAAGACTTGATTCTTAGAAAGTCCTGTTCATCTATTTTATTCTCTCCTGCTTGTAGGTTTTTCATTATGTTTGGACGACTGTTCATGCAGTGAATTAGGGATTCTAGAGTTCTTTTTAGATTTTCTTTGATGAATGTTATAGTCTTTGGTTTTACTTCTAGGTACTTGATCCACCTCGAGTTGGTTTTTGTGTACAGTGTGAAGTATGGGTCTTGTTTTTTTGTGGATGGCTTTTCAATTCTGCCAATACCACTTGTTAAAGAGACTGTCATTTCCCCACTTAGCTGATTTTGTCTCCTTGTCAAAGATCTGCTGACCATAGGTAGATGAGCTGATTTCTGGGTTTTTATTTCTATTCTATTCATCTATTAGTTGGTTGCTGTACCAGGGCCATGCTATCTTGACCACTATGGGATCAGGGAATATGATGCCTCCTTTTTTCTCTTTTTCAGTAGTGTTTTGCTTATTTGGGGGTCTCTTTTCATTGTAGATAAAATTGGAAATTGCCTTTATCTTGTTGAAGAATGGAATTGGTCTGCACATTTCATTGTTTTGATGCTTCCTAGATTATTCAATATTCTACCCATAGCATCCTTAAGTATTGAAACTCAAGGCTTGAATAGAATGATAAAATTTTACGCAAACAAGGATTTATGAATTTATTTTTATACATACCTTTTATTCATATCATGGTTAAGCAACACAAATTATAATTATACACATGGACTTCACCTGGTGGTCTACGTAGGAATCAATTGATTATATCGTGGAAAGAATCATTGGAGAAGCTCAAAATGAGCTGTGAAAACTAGTCTTGGTCCCAACTGTGGATTGATTAAATGACCAACTACTCATATGTAAATTCAAACTGAAGCTAAACATAATTAAAACAAGTCCACAAGAACCAAAATTTTAGTCTTTGAGTCTATCCCTCCTGCATTTAAAAACTCTCTCAGGAGCAGGTTTGAGGCCTTGAACACTAATGAATGAAAACTAGATGATCTATGGTCGCATATAAAGAATATCATCCATGAAGAATACAAAAGTTCACTACAAAGAAAGGAAAAAGGAAAGACCAAGATGGATGTCAGAAGAGATCCTGAATATTGCACTAGAGTGCCAAGAAACTAAAGCAAAGAGAAGAAATCAAGACATTAAGGAGCTGAGTAGAAGTTTTCAAAGAGTGGTTAGGAAAGACAAAGCAAAGTATTACGATGAAATGTGCAAAGAGTTAGAGTTGAAAAACCAAAAGGGATGGACTTGTCATTTCTTAAACTGAAAGGACTGAAGAACACATTCAAGTCTCAAGTTGCAATACTTAGGGATACTATGGGCAGACTATTGAATACTCGTAGTACTTGTTGTTATTTTGTGCTGTGGAGTTGCCTGTGACTCATAGTGACCCTGTGTACAACATCTATAAAGTCTACCCCGTCTTGAGCCAGTCTCACTGACCCCAACACATCTGCCTCCATTGCCCTAATTACTGTATCAATCCATCTCATCCGAGCATAATGTCCTTCTCCAAGCACCGGTCCCTCCTGGCTACATGCCCAAAATATGTGAAATGAAGCTTCAAAATCCTGGCCTCCAAAAGAATTTTGGTTTCACCCTCTTTAGGGCAGACCTATTTGTTTTCTTGGCAGTGCATGGTATGTTCAAGATTCTTCTCCAGCACCACAACTTGAAGGCATCAATTTTTCTTCCATCATCCTTATTCATTGTCCAGATTTCTGATGTATAACAAGTAATTGCAAAGACCATGGCTTGGATCAGGTGCACACCTTAGTCTCTAGACTGACCTCGTTGCTTCTCAGTACTCTGGAGAGGTCCCTGACAGCTGATTTCCCCAATGCTATTTATCTTTTGATTTCCTGATTGCTAGTGCCAAGAGTGTTGATTGTGGAGCTGAGAAATCCAGACTTGTTCCACTGCGAGAATCTGCTGTTAAGGGCCTATCCAAAGTTCTAAAGGACAAGGACATCATTTAAAAGATTAATATGAGCTTGATCCAAGCCATGGCATTTCCAATCATTTCTTAGGTTTCTGGAAGTTTGACAGTGAATAAGGAAGATCAAAGAAGAATCAATGCCCTTGAATTATGATGTTGGCAAATGATATTGAGTATAACATGGACTTGTTAAAGAACAAACAAATAATAAAAAAAGAACAAATTAGTCTTGAAGGAAGTCCAACCTGAGTAATTCTTAAAGACTCAGGTGGTAAAACTTTAACTCACTTACTGTGATGGCTTAGTGAGAAGGAATTGTGCTGCCAACACAATGGTGCATGATTCGAATCCACTATTTGCCAATTGAGAGAAAGATGAGCAATCAACTCCCATGTGGTTTACCGCCTCTGAGAACCCACCAAAGGGTCTGCAATGGGTCATTTCTGACTCGAGGGTGTACAACAACTACAACAGAAGTAAGCAATCTTTGGTGAAAGAAATCACGCTGGGAAAGGGAGAGAGTCAAAGAGAGACTGTAAAACCCTCAGCCAGATAGTTTGGCGTGGTAACTACCACAATTGACTTGAGCATGGCGTAAGACACCATGATGGGGAGAGGTGGGCAGGGAGAAAAGTGCAATAATGAATGAATGGAAGTCCAAAATCTCTGTAAATATTCATTAAGATTAATAACAAAATTAATTCCTTTAAGGCGGCCGGTTTCCTCCCACGGGACGGGTGAGGGCGCTGGGCTCAGGGGTGCGGGTCCTCATCCTGTGTCCTCTGCTTAGATGGGCCTCGGAAGCGGTGGGGCTGCCACAAAGAGGAGCCACTGGAAAAGTTCTAAGAAGAGTGACTTGATCAAGTCTATGTTTTAAATGAGTATTTGATGAAGGAGAGACACGAGGGAGAAAGAGCGTGAAAGAGAGAGGATGTCTCTCTCAGACTGGCACCCGGCGGTGAAGCTGGCTGACCAGCCTCTTGCTCTAAAGTCTATTCTTCGGTTACCAGGGGCAGAGCTGGGTGACTATCGTATTTCTGGGAACCTATCGTATTTCATTTCTGAAGCAGCTCATTGCTGCCAAACTCCAGCAATCTGTCCAGACCCTGAGCTGATTGATCTGATCTACTGTGGCCGGAAGCTGAAAGATGACCAAACCCTTGACTTCTATGGCATTCAACCTGGGTCCACAGTCCGTGTTCTGCGCAAGTCGTGGCCTGAGCCTGATCAGAACCCAGAACCTGTGGACAGAGTGGCTGCCATGAGGGAGTTCCGGGTGCTGCACACCGCCTTGCACAGCAGCCCATCATACAGAGAGGCAGTCTTTAAGATGCTCAGCAACAAGGAGTCATTGGACCAGATCATCGTGGCCTCTCCAGGCCTCAGCAGTGACCCCATTGCTCTTGGAGTTCTTCAAGACAAGGACCTGTTTTCTGTTTTCGCTGATCCCAGCATACGTTGGTGCCTACCCACCCAGCCCTGGTCAATGCCACCATGCTGGTTTTGACACTTGGTGGCAGGCAGCACCCCACTGCCAGGCGCTGACGCCTCTTCCCAGAGCATACCCTCCAGTTCATACCGGGACATGCCAGGTGGCTTCCTGTTTGAAGGGCTCTCAGATGATGAGGATGACGTTCATCCCAGCGCCAGGTCTACACCATCCGGCAGCACACCCAGCTCCCGTCCAGCCTCCTTGGGGTGTAGTGGAGCTGCTGGCCTCTGACCCATTACCCAGAGGGAGCTGGCCACCGCCCTGCTCTTGGCTAGCACTACAGAGAGCAGTTCTCACACCCCGACTCCAGGCACCCAGGGCCATTCCTCAGGAACGTCGCCGATTTCCTCCAGCGTCCAGTCGGGAATACACATCACCAGTGATCTCTTCAGCCAAGCCCTGTAGCATGCTCTGCAGGCCTCTGGACAGCCAGCCTCCAGAGCCAGCGGCAGCCCCAGCTGCAGCAGCTACGTGATATGGGTGTCCATGGTGACAAGCTGAGCCTGCGGGCCCTGCAGGCCACTGGAGGGGACATCAGGTGGCCCTGGAGCTCATCTTTGCCGGGGGAGGCCCCTAAATTCCCAAGTTCTTCTCATCCCTTAGCAGTCTGCAAAGGCTGCTGTCCATGGGAGGCCCCAATGATAGTGCCACCACCTCTCCTCTCCCTAATACACCTACTGATGGTCACCTCTTAAAAAAGAAAAAATTAATTATTTTTTAAAAAGAGAACACGAGGATGGTGCAGGATAGGGCAAAGTTCAGATATGCTATTCATGGAGCAGTGAGTCATAGTCTAATTGATGGCACCAACTAACAACCAAAAGGGAGCTTTTGCGTGTATCTGGAGCCATGTTTGGTTTTGACTGCTACTGTGTATATTTGACTATTACTGTGTGTGTGTGTGTGTGTGTGTGTGCATATGCTATATATATCTGGTGCTTTGAAGCCAGAGATGCTGTTCAACATCTTACAATGCCCAAGACACCTATGCCTCTATTCTCAACTAACATCCAATTTCAAGACCAATACAGTTGAGATTCAGAAACCCTGAAGGGGGTTAAAATAACTCATATGTCACTTAAAGACCTGCATCAAATACTTAGAGCTTCATCTTCCTCCACCTCCCTTCCCCTATTTTTCCTCCATTGAGCACTCCTTGTAGGGTCCAGAAAATTCCATGGTCTCATAAATAAAATGCTGCTCATAACATGTCAAAGGAAGCCCTGGTGGCTTAGTGGTAAGGAGTTGTGCTGCCAAGCCAAAGTCATGTGGTTTGAATTCATCAGCTGTTCCATGGGAGAAAGGTGGGTGATCTCCTTCTGTGTGATTAATTGCCTTTGAAAACCTTTTAGAAGAGACCTCTGGTGGCCTAGTGGCAAGAAGCTGCACTGCAATCCCAAAGGTACACGGTTCAAATCCCCCAGATGCTCTGTTGGAGACGGAGGGGCAATCTCTTCCTGTATCAGTCAAATCTACTTGATGGAAGGAAGGAA